TGAGGGTCTCCCCAGTGAGGGTCCCAAGCATTATACTTAACAGAATCGATGTTACTAAGGTTTCATTTTTTTCGAAACAAAATATTTTACACAAATAATATTTTTTTTTATAAATTGATTTTATCCAAAAAAAAAATTATTTTTATTTTTTGGCATTTGGTTAACACCTGAACAAAAATATTTTATTACTTAAAAGAGAAATTTTAATTCAATAAAAGCGTCACTTATGACTTTTTAGTGAGTTAAGATATTTATTTGAAAATACTAAATATATTGAAAAGATAGTTAGTGAGAGTCAATTTTGCAAAAATTTACTTATGCAATTTTTAAAAGTAAGTCATTTTTTGAAAAATAATGCAAAAATATTTTTCTTAAAAAATATTTTACTTACTTTTTGTTCAACCAAATAACAAAAAATAGATAAAATATTTTTAACAAAAACATTTTACGTCAAAACAAACAGAACCTAACAACCTAATGCACTATAGTCTTGGCATAGAAAAAATTTTGGAGTATCATATACTTAATTTTGAAGTATCGGATGCTCCAAGTCACTTATTACATATTTTACGAAATTAAAATTGTAGCATTTCTTGCATAGTATTATAATATAATATAATTGTGAGGATAAATATAAGAATATTTTTCTAATACTTTGTTTAGTTCTTTGATAAGAAGAACATAGTGAATTAAATAATAAAATTTGTCAAACTGATGTATACTAATTGTTTCATTCATGTCCCTTATACTACATAGAAAGTAAAGATTAATAAGAGAATATAATAATATTAAATAAATAAGCAAGTAAACTTGAATACAAGATTTTTTACTAGTGCCAAAGGAAAAAACAGAGGGATAAGTTGTGAATTGTTCTATTGTTGTAATATAAACATATTAGACTTGATATTAAAATGAAATATTTGTTAGACCTATTGAAAATTTAAAAAGTAAACAAGCTTACTAGCTTAAATTAATAGCTAATTCTTAAAAGTTAGTATTTTGCATTATAAAATTACATTATGGTTTCTTAACATTCTTTAGCTTATATGTAACTCACTTTTAATAATTTCAGAATGTATTTTTTCACGAACGTATCTTAACCATACCCATATCCTATTTTAGTTTTGTCCCACATCTGGCTATTGGCTCGCATCTTGAAAGAAAATGAGCCACATGTTGTCTCGAATCTCCTATCCCATCAAACATTTTGAAATTTAGTTGGGAAAAACCAGAAGGAAATAGAACATCATCTATCCATGTTGGGTAAGGTTTTATAATTACTCAAAAGTTCTCATCATCTTTCTCCTTAACTTTCTTTACTTGTTTCCTTACCATATCATCAATCATGGCCAGGAGCATTGGATTCATACCACCACTAGTTAGATTAGAGTAACAAGGACCATTGCCCCCTAGCGCTAGTGTGCTTTGTACGCCTCAGCATGTCCCCACTGCAAGTTGTGTCATTTATTTGGGTGCACTTCCTGTTCCTGTCATTTGGGCCTACAACTGTTGCATTTGCTCTAACATAGCAGTCATTTCCTATTCTCTTCTCACAAGTTGTTCTAGTAGGGCCACCACTTTTTCGTTGAGACCCTATTGGTCCTTTTGGACTTGCGAATTTTTGCCTTCCTTTTTAATATCAGTCATCATAACTGCAACAACTTTGTTGGCATCTCTCAAATCACCGTTTTCAATATTTGTTGAAACAGATGAGTTATATAAGACAGAATCATCTTGTTCGTATAAAGGATTATCAATCCCCACAACAGTACTTACATTTGAAGCATCTGACTGCAATGCTTTGTCCTGAGCCTCACGGGTCATAGACCTTGTCACAGGCCCTTTTCTTAGTCCCTCCATAGATAGTTAGATCAAGGCAGAAATATTTTCCAAGGGTGGTTTACCCTCCTCCTTTGAGAGGCTTGACTTTCTAGTCGAGTCCGATTCCATAGTTCTTCCTAGTGTGAAGATAGAACTTTCAATTTGTTTTTGGCATTCATTTCTCAAGTGAGCCTTTTCAACAACTCCTATAACATTTGTCACTACTGTTCTTCATTCCAGTTTCTTTAAGGCCTTATTCTTCCTTCGCCTTTGTCTTTTAGAAACTGGACCATCTGAAGACATATCAGGTCGAGCCCCTAGGGGCATAGAAGGAATCGTTTGTGTTTTTACAAATTCCTCCAATTGATATTGATTCGAACGCCGTTGAGCCAACGGGTGCTCCTTTTTTTGATTTGGCCCCCTCAGAAATGATTGGGTTTTGAATAAGCAAACTTTGCGCTTCGAACAAAACTGTTGGTTCGTAGGCCGTAGTTGTTTTTTTACCAACAAAGGCGGTTATTTTTTCATCAACAGGAGTTTAGGTCAGTACCCTCCTCCCAATAGCCCTGATGATGGCCATGTTTTCAGTAGAGGCCCTCCTCTAGGTAGACTTTATCATTTTGACACAGTCTTCTACTCTTGTGAGTAGTTGGGCAACAACATTTTGTGTTACGCCCCGTTGAAGCTGCAACAAAGGCCGTAGTTGCAACTTGATTAGCTTCCCTTGCTTGGATTAGAAAGCTCTTCGTTCGAGCTATGGCCCTCACCGTTGCGTATTGCTTCGGCGCCTTCACATAATCTTCAGCAATCTTTTTCAAATTTTTAGCTTTCTAGAGAAGTGTGACCTTATTCATAACACCAATTACCTTTAGGACAGCCAAGAGCATTCACTTCGAAGCCCCTTAGGTGACAAGTGTTGGGGAAGAAGTGCATCTTTCCAGTATTTTGCTGGTTCTGCCTTTGGGATAGTTAAGAAAATTCGTTCCGGAGCCCTCGGGTGACGAGCGCTATCTCCATCATTCGTGATCTTAGAACCACCGGAGTGTAAGTTAGCCTCTTGACAGTTACTTCAGCATTCCTATAACAAAAGAATACGTCAGCAAGTTTCAAATATATATATATATATATATATATTTGTTCTTCAAAAGATGGGAGGAGAAATAGATTCCACTGGGCGTGCCATAATTTGTAGACACAAATTTTGAAACGTAAAGTGTTTTAACACATTTCAAACTTCATGTTACAAATGTCCACTATTTAGTTTTTGGACTAATGTTGATTATTTGAATATCAAGTTCCTATTTTCGATCTGCATTTCAGATTAATTACACATTTTATTTAAATAAAACCTCCGATTAATGAAGAACAAAAACAAAAATGAACATAAGACAAATTAAGGAATAAAAATATTTTATTCAAATAGTAGGGATTTAGAACCCTTAGGTACAAAATACAATAGTTGGGTTTGGAACCCTTTACCTAACGCTCGCCATCGTATTAGATGCTTGCAGTGAAGTGTAAGCTCTTGAATTTTTCTTTCTTGTAACGACTTCTTTAGCTCTTAGTTTCTTTATTTCTCTCTGATCTTGTAATTTCTGATTTTTCTCCCTTTTTGTGTGGTGATCCCTCATATTTATAGAGGGCCCATCCAGGTGATAAAATGGCCTCATCCTCAATTTGAATGTTGAATGATAGCGCCATCTGAATTTGGGCATAATCATATCTGATTAATCGTATTGCTCTTTTGGATTTCATCATGTGTTGTGTCTTTATTGTAGGCTTTACAAATATCATCTTTTGTAAGCTCCACGTGTTATTTGAATATCTTAAATAAGACATTGTTTTATTAATGCATTCCAACAGACCAAGTTGATCATTTTAGGAAGTGATTACCTACAACAATCCTATCATAGGCTTTATGTGTGTCATTAACTGATTGACCGTATTTAAAACTTAGTTGAAATTTATTTGCCAACAAGCGTAGGCAGAGATTTAAGCCAATGGGGTCATTCAATAAGTATCATCAATGTCATTATGTCATACTTAAGTTCTACACAACCTATCAAAATCAAGTTTCACATAATACATTGTAATTTTATATATTTTCATTCACAACGGCAAAAGTAATTCAAAATGGTCAAATTACATATAATTTCTAAAAACAAAAGTTGGGAAGGAAGTATGGATATGGATACAATGATAAGACAAAACTAAAATAGGATATGGGTATGGTTAATATACGTTCGTGAAAAATATACATTTCGAAATTATTAAAAGTGAGTTATACATAAGCTAAAGAATGTTAAAAAATCACAATGTAATTTTATAATGCAAAATACTAACCTTTGAGAATTAGCTATTAATTTAAGCTAGTAAGCTTGTTTACTTTTTAAATTTTTAATAGGTCTTACAAATATTTCATTTTAATATCAAGTCTAATATGTTTATATTACAATAATAGAACAATTCACAACTTATGCCTCTGCTTTTTCCTTTAGCACTAGTAAAAAATCTTGTATTCAAGTTTACTTGCTTATTTATTTAATATTATTATATTCTCTTATTAATCCTTACTTTCTATGTAGTTATAAGGGACATGCATGAAACAATAAAGATACACCAATTTGACAAATTTTATTATTTAATTTACTAATCAAACAAATAAACAAAGTATTAGAAAAATATTCTTATATTTATCTTCACAATTATTATATTATAATACTATGCAAGAAATGCTACAATTTTAATTTAGTAAAATAAGTAATATGTGATTTGGAGCATTCGATACTTCAAAATTAAGTATCTGATACTCCAAAATTAATGAAAAATTGATTAATTATCCGATATTTTTAATAAATATCTGATATGTATCCGCAAGTATACAATGAGGATACAATACAAATATGTAACCCTATTGAAGTATCCATGCTTTATAGACAATAACATTTGCAATTTTTTTCACCACTTTTTTATAAATACTCTCCAAAATATATATTCTAATATGCATTGAGATTCGTGTCATGTATAAATTTAAACACTAAAGCCAAATTTTAGATTGTATTTATAATAAAGTGGGAATAGAAATAACAACTCTTTTTTCCCCTCTAATTTCATGGCGTTCAGTATGTAAAACCCCAAACACTTGGAATAAATTTCTACATTTATTCAAATAAAAATTGGATAGTGTCGAAACTAGCGAGTGGTCGCATGTATCATGAGTTTGCAAATCCAAAGGGCCCTAACTAGGATTGGATCTTGGTTATCAAACAATAATAATAATAATGACACCACTTGGATTAGGCAACAAATTGTCATACTTATCCATCCCGTCTTCCTAAAATACGCTTTACATAATTATGAAATAATAAAAAAAAAATATGTAATAAAAATGCATCCACTTGCCCATTCTACACTACACCTAGTAGAATACCACATAGATACAAGAAAATAAACTCTTAATAGAATTCTCGACTCATAGAATTAATAAGTACAGGGCAAAAAGATTTTATAGCCAATAATCAAAGAATAGTTTTGAACGCATATTTACTGTGAAACAAGGCTATTGGTGTGTTTCTGTAGCCAATCAAAGCCGATATCAATGAAAGGTCTAGCCTCTCCTATTTTCACATTGTAAACAACAACCAACTTTTTACTTTGAAGACCAGTCTTCTCAATAATGAAGACCAAGGATTGGCCATGATCCAACCAACCAACAGGTGCGGAACCATCATACAAAAATTTGTCCATCTATTACTTCTTTGAACTTGTAAAGTTTAACCCATTCATTGCGACATAAAGTCCTTCAATATGCTTACATAAACCTCTTCCAGATGGTTCACAACACAAGATAAACTATTCCTCAGCTCAAGGAGCTAATAAAAACTCCCAACAAATCCAGTTGGAACTTGAATGGAGTGAGAAGTTTCATCATAAGGTCAATAGCAAAAATATTTAAGCTCCTTTGGGATCAATAAATAACCCCTCCAACAGAGACTGAAGTTACAATCCCAGGATCAAGATCATTTCCTTTTAGCGAAGTCTCAAGTTTTCTCCATGACATGTTATTACCCACGGACAATACAAACCATCTATGTTCTCCACTCAAGCTTTCACAATGCCACAACACCTTTGTACTCCCCAGTGCAAGAAATAAAAGCAATATGACAAGAGGGGAAAAGCTCCTTCTCCACAATTGCAAAAGGAAAGCTTTTATATTGCATTGTCACATGATTCCCAACATAAATAAATCTTTTAGGGTGTGAGCTACAGAACAGTGATAAACCCCCACAACTAGAGACCATTTGTCCAGAAAATCTAGGTGTTTCATTTTGAAGTCTACCTCATTAAGCTCAAGGCAACCAGAATTATATGGCATACCAAACTTCTGGATGAACAAACCACCCTTTGATTAAAGGTGTGCTTTGATAAAAGAAGAGTTAGATATAATTTTTGCCCATGCCTTGCACACATATCTCCCACAGTTTGCAGAAACTCTGCAGGAAGGAAAATAAGAATCTGAAAAAAGATTTCTTGGGAAGAAATGGAATGTCATTCTTCAGTTTCTTCAGTTTTTTCATTTTAGAAGAAGCAATCCTACAAAAATGTAGAGAATACTGTAAAAATTTGGAAAATGATGAGCAAAAATAAGACAAACAACATTGTTCATGCATCTATGGAATAAAAAACTAGAAGTCTGGACATGAAGATATCTTTGGCACAAAAATGAAATACAGAAGGAAAAGAAACACATACAAATAAAAATCTTAAACCAACCAACCAAAATAGAAAACTTATAGTGTCTACTTATTATTGTTATTTTTTTCTTTTATGTTTCATTGGTTTGGATAAACTTTATAAACATTCATGCCCTAGCTAACTTTGAGAATTTCAAAAAATAGTCAAAAAGCTAAAAATTCACTAAAAAAACCACAATTACAATGACCAATTGATGCAGAACGGAGAGGGAGAAAAGGGAGAGGAAAAATTGAAGGGCCATGACCCAAATCAAACAAATCTATTAATCGACTTCATCCAATACAATTACCGAAGCTTTTTAGTTGTATGCTAAAAAACCCAATATTAAAAAGGAAACAAGAATTGTTAATAAAATGGGAAACCAAATATACTAATAAGACTCCTAATAAACTATAATTTAAAAATAAAATAAAATAGTAAAGACGTAAAATTATAAAATTTCCATGTAAAATTGGTCTGCCAATACTTGATGAATAGTTATGAACCATATCTTAGAAAACCCTATACAAAGAATACCAAAATCTAAATAAACTCCCAAGCAAAAATGAATCCGCCATTCCCTTTCCTACAAGAAATTGAATCTCTCTCACGCATCTAATTCGGGTAAAAGAAACAGAGAGTTTACACACAAATTGTAGGATTTGAGTCAAAAGGCCTAATTGGACCATGACAATAAACCATATAACAAGTATGTTTGCTACTAATATCCAAACAAGTATTAAAGAATATCTTTGGTTGCAAATCATGACCCAAAGAAACACACACAAAAGACAATAACTTCTGTCATAGGACTACAACTCACTGTCAATAAAATTCAAAGAAATGAAATTTTAATTAGTACTGAAGCTAAAAACAAGATATAAATTCAAGTAAAAAGTTTGTACCAATAAAAATGGATCAAAAGGTCACGTTTTATTCCTAAGGAATGTTTCCATAATTTAAAATATTTAGCCACAGAGAATATATAAGTTGCATTCAATCTCATAATCTACATGATTATTGAACTCAGAAACAGGTCTCATGTTTTCATACAACTACTGGTTACTGAATATCAGTATCTACATCAAATTCTACCTGAAGTGTATTGATAGGTTTGACCAATAGCTAAAAGAAAATTAAATCATTTTGACCTAATTGATTTGGACCATCAAATAAAAAAAGCATGCATACATATCATCATGGTGCAAATGTCTTCACTAAAGAGTATGTGCCTGAGTTTAAAAACATAACTGCAAGTTCTAAATTTTAGTCAAATAAACCTTGACCTCCATGAATGAAATACATAGATTCTACCGCATAAATTAAACAGTGTTTAGAACTCATAAAACAATTGTGTGTGCGCGCACGCATATATATAGACTAGTTTAAATGAGTTTGACACAAGCTACCAGCATTTTAGTGCCATATAGAATAGTTCAATAACATAATACTTGAATAGAGACTTATCAAATTAATTACAGTGTGAAAAGGAGAACTATATGGTATTATTAATCATGCTCCAGGTGCAATTGGGAAGTGAAGAAAGCAAAGATACTGTCAGTCTGTAATGATGTAACCAACGAAGGCAGGACCAAATGTCAATTTAAGGTACACACAAGACAGAGCTCCCTGACAAACACATTTCATTTTTTTATCAGCTAAACTCAGGCCTCCTATGTACAATGACTGTTGAATCTTTTAAATCAAGAGTGACATACATTATGTCAAGTTGAATGAGCAAGCATCCCGGGAACGCTGTCACATAGTCATATACATCATTTACCTTTGAAAACTGATTCAAACAAAAGTGGTTAAATAATGATGGTTGGTAAAAACATAGCAAGTGGAATGATGGAGAGAAAATTGATCGTGCTAAAAAATGCAGAGGAATCATCCATGGAGAGAAATTTGATTGTGCTATAATATAACATTTTGACACTGTTCATTGCTAAAATATAACAATAACTATCCATATAGCTAGACAACCATTGGCGATGCTCTTGCATTACAATTTTAAGGATTATACATTGTTTTATGCTTTGTGCTCACAACATATTTGTTTGTTCCATCATTACATTTATTTTTGTAGCTACTGTTAAAGATGTTAAAAATATTACGGTACATAATTCAAAAAAATACAAAGACGATACATGATTCATATCCTAATTTGACAACTATGCATGTACACTATTATTTTAAAATTTTATCTATGCTTCATAGCTTATATGTTTAATTCAAGCCCCAACAATTCAACAGAAACATTGTTAATATTGAAAAATAGACCACTGAATTGCTAAAGATCCTTTAATACAGCTTTTAGAGAATTGACATTTTAATAAGAGAACTTCTAACTCTTCTATGCAGAATTTAATTTTTGCCTAACTATATATTTCTTACTTCTAAGACTGCATACATTATTTGTCTTTCTGCGATCAAGTGTCAATTGCTATAGGTCGATATTTTTTTTAATGTGATTGCAGTGATGCATCTTTTAATTATGGTTACTATTTGTTTAAGGATTTGAATTTCGAGATTGATCTAGATAAGCTGCACTGCATGTAAGGAGTATTTTCTGAAGTGGTAACAATTCTGGTTTTGAATAATGTTAGAAAATGTTGAGTGCATATTCTTGTCATGATTCTGTTTATTCTACTTGCCTGCACCAACATATTCATGATGCCATGGTGAACTGCTGCTGCACAGGTGCCCCGCACAAGCCAAATGAATTGCATAGAGCTCATATAATGTAATCTTAAAATATATTTGTGCAAATAAAAGCAAGCAATGGTTAAAACTCAAAAATACTGAGCCAGTGATTCGGTGACACAGCTGAGACCTATCATAAGTATACATATAGGTCAATTTTTGGCACTATAGTCGGTAAGGCCACATAATGAAAACTGCAGCTGTTAAAATTCACCTACTACTACCACCTACTACACACTCACCTACTTCACCTACTCTCCACCTACTCCTCACCTACTCCATACCTACTACACACTCACCTATTCTCTTCCCACATCCTCTCTTCTATATATAGGAATCATTGTAATATATCAATAGATATCAATCAATAATACATTAATTTTAACATGGTATCAGAGTAAGGTTGAGAACCTAGTAATTCCGCTTCACCGGCGGGTGGCAGCCTCACTTTGGCCGCCCGCCGGACCTCAACCTATTCCGCTTATTTTCTACACATACCTTCCCATCATTGCCCAAATCCTCTCTCTCTGGTTTCTGACCAACAATGACAAAGCCATATTTTCATCTTTCTCTCTCCTCCATCTGTTGAATTCGAAGCACTAGTGGAGAGAGACACAGAGATCAACACGTCGCTGTCGATGTCAGAGGCTCCGATGCCCTCTCCCTCTGTTCTCCTCTGCGGCTATCGTAGATGTTGGCATCGCCGCTTATCGTTCATCAGCAACGACGATGCCGTCGCTCCCGCTTCCGCTGCTCCTCGCTTTACCGCAACAAAAGGAGGCAGAGGCAAGCCCAAGTCCTCCAAATCGGTCTCCAGATCTCAGAAAGCCGGCCTCCAGTCCCCACTTCTCTTAATTATTTTAATCTGAGTTGTGGGTGGTTTCGTAGTAAACCGTGGGCTGGTTTTGAAGTTTGGTTGAGTGTACCATTCAAGTCTTTGTAGAGCTGGCTACTGCAGGAGGGGTTGTTTGGTATTTGTGCAGTTTTTTTTTGGGTTCGGCACATGCTAGTAGCATGGAGGGAAACTCAAAATTTGGGTTAAGTTTTGATATGATTGACAGCGTGGTTCAAAGTTTATGCACATGGGCTGGTTTGTTTTATATATATATATATATATATGAGTTTCTTATATTTATATATTATGTATGTATTTTCAAACACATGGGCCCACAGTTGCTAGTGCCTCCAAGAGGTTATTTATTGTTTTGGTTTTAAACTTGAGCCGATTAGCACGTGGGGTAGATCAATATGGTGGCTGGTTTTCTAAATTGGTGGACTGAATTTCAATTTTTGTCACTGCCATACACATACAGCTGTCTGATTCTTTTCTTTATTCTCCACCCACATAACCCAACACTCTCTCTCCTCACTTTGCATCCACCGCCCACACTTTTTTTTTATTATAAAGCTTATTGGTGCACTCCTTGTTCCCCACTTTTGTTATTTTATATATATATATATATATCTATATCTCTTTATTATATTATATTAAAAAAAAAAAAAAATTATAACCAAGGTTTTAAAAAGAGACTACAACGGTTGTGACTGTTACCGTCACTTGTTACGGTTGCTATAATAGTGTGACAAAAATTTACAACTATAATAACCGCCACTATTATGTAAAGATTACCGGGAACTCGGCAGCCTGGTTGAGACTTGTACGAGAATTGATGGGAATGCGATGGTAGGGGTCTTTTTGAATGTATCATTGTGATTAAATAGAGTAACTGATATACAAGCAATATAAACAAAATAAATAAATAAACTTTTAGGGGCATATTTCCATATTAAACTATAGTTTCACGGGCATTTTAAGACAAATATTGCAGTTTCACAATGCGAGTATGACACATAAATCGGTCAATATGTCTTTTAATGGATGGCCTTCCAATACGATGCTTACCAAACACAAACAAAAAACTTTCCAAATACAACATTATGAGGTCAAAGACTAGACAATAGACATTACTTATAGAAAATTTCAAATGCAAAGAAAATTGTCCATGCCAACTGAAAGTTAACAGAATGACTATTCAAACAAGGAAAATAGAAC